GACATGATTGGAAACAAAGTTAAATTAACATGCGAATATGATTGTGATTATGTAAGAAATAAAAAATTGGAAGACAAAGAAAAGTTTTAGAATAAAAGATTATTTGATTAGCGGTCAGTCAAATTGTCAGGAAAAGGGTAATCACATTTTTCTTCTGTATACATAGGTCAAATTAAGAATGTTAATTATCGATTACCTTTTCTAAACGGAGTTAAACTTTTATTGGTTGTTTCCTAGGCATTTTATATGCATCACTTATATCTACTTTATGTCCACAATCCCAAAAAATATCTGAGACTATTGACTTTCGTATGTAGATTCTTAGGAACGTGTTTAGAAACCGTTCTCCCTATCCTTCCTATATACTTTCTACCTCGGGTACATGTAAATTCATAGGTGCAGCTGGAGGTGATTTCGAAAAGGTATTGACCTTCCTTCAATAGTATAACGAACAATTGGTGTTATATAGTGAAACCAGTTGAGCCACAGTAAATCTTCTAATGAATGCTACCATGATCCTTCCATCGATTCTTCTTGAAATACCATCCTCCTTTAACAGAAGAAGGATAAAGACAGGTATCTTGAAAGGTTATTTATGATTTTCAAGATGTTCTTTTCCATATTTTGCAATAAATTTATTCTAATGTTCATTTTGCACATCCGTCGAATACAAAATTGAAAAATAGGAATCCACTATACATCATTAATCTGTTTTGAAGGAGTTTGTATTGTTTTGGTGATCTATTTAGGATTTTAAAGTTAATTAGATTCGTCTGAAATACAAAAATACTGTCGTACTAAACCACAAACTGATTGTAATTAGCAAAAGATACAAAATATTGTATCTTAACTCAATGACTTTACAGTAACAGACTCTTTACTTCAAGATTTCGGAATTATTTCGAATAGTAGTGGAAAATATAGTCAACTAAGAAAGCACAAGTTAAAAGGAGAAAGGTTACGAAAACATATTATACATGTTTCAGCTTATTTGATGTTCACTTCATCAAAGCTGCGATATTCTTAATAATGAAACCGATACTAACTGAGGGATTATATCCTAGGTTATTCTAAGAAAGTGAGCGGTATATTGTATTTTATAAAAATCTTCAGAATATAAAATACAAATAATCTAGAATCAGAATATTCGTTGACCCAGTAAATAGACATTAAATTCAACACATGAGTATTAGTGACAAGACCTAGTCATAAAAATAATGTGCTCTTTTTTTATCACATTGTGATCATATGTTCATTTTACCTGTTTTAAACACGACATGAATATTTATTATAGCAAGTTGTATAAGCAAAAAACATTTTCAATTATATTCCCTCAAGCTTTACTTTCTTATAAATAGTTATATGGATTTGAAGGATAAATATGTTAATGCTTTTTTTTAATATAAATGTCTAAAGGTTTTATATGCTACCCTTTCAACGTATACATATCCTTTCTTGTTGTAAAGGTATTTTTCTGTGTCAGGAAATAGGCTCATACAACCAAATCAATTAAATGACCTTGAAGTGTTAGAAACAAAAATTTCCCAATAAGTGATTGGGATTAATGAGATTAAATTTAGTTGGTCGGGGTTTATAAGATTAATAATATAAAGCTTGGTATTAAATAACAAATTATACTGACCTTAAAAATCCATTTTTATTTTATAATATTAAATAATTACATTTGTTCATCATGAGCATTTACTTCATTGAGTAAGAGTGTATTAATTGCTGTCATAATAAGAAATATTTATATTCGTTAAAATAGATTAATTAAATTGACTCTAACTTGGAAATATTCATTGCCTTAAAAGATTAGGAGCAACAAACAATACAGTTGCAATCGGATATCGTATTTATTTTTGAACTCTCCTATTTCACTTGTAACGTCTTCAGTCAAAATATGAAAGATGCCATGAGCATCTAAGTTGAAACTATATTAAAATTCACTAAATTTTTCAGTCTAAATATCATACATGGTGTGTCCAAAGCATTTTTTTACCACTTACCTATAAGAAATGTGTAATATTTCACTAGAATTCGAACAGAATCAAGGTTAATAGTTTCTTGCAAACTTAAACCTAGATACGTAAGAACAGTAGTGTTGCTTATTAGATTTCAATTGTTCAATCTCTACTGTAGTACACCAAACACTATGATCCTGAAAAATAATTGAAATGAAACAGTCTCTTAAAATACAGTATTAGTTATAGAGGTCATTTTCGATGTACAGTTATATTTTCTGTTTAATCTTCATATGCGACAATAAAATTCACAAACAAACAAAGTGATAGCAGTTTTCTATCAACACATATTCCAACCAACTTATTTCTGAAAACATATCCAATACTTTAAACGTGTGGTTAACATTTCTTTATGATGATTTTATTATGTCGAACTCAAAGTGCAACGATATCGTTCAAATTACGATTTAGAATTGAATAGAACCGAATTTTATTTTGAATCGTCAAGCAGAATTAGTAAAGTTGAAATTTAGTAACAATGAAAAAAACCCATCACACTAACATTTGCCCTAAATTGTTTTATCACAATTAATATTAGTAAAGGTGAACTTTAACCAATTTATGTAAGTAAATTAGTCATATATAGAAAACATTATTTGTCTTTTGTTTATCGGAATTACTTAAGAATTTTTTATGAGCTCAAAAGAAATATTTATATTCTAATCTATAGTTATAACAGTGGTATTGAGTGTTGTTAGAGGTATGAGGGTGGTTATCACTTCCCGGTTGCCCACACCGTGGAAGGGTTCTTCTGGAGGTACCTGAAAAGGAAATTGGATTAGAGGTGGTCTTAGTGACCTGAAAGCGTGACCGCAGTGCCCAAGGGACAGCTGCTTGAGGTCGGTCACACACGACCATTTTATGAGTAATTTTTGTTAGCTCCGTACTTGTTGAGACCTTAGCGCCGGAGACGAATATCCTTGAGATAAGGCGAGGTATGCATTTTTAGGGTCGACCTTTTCTAACCCCACCCCTCCTTGTGGGAAGGCAGCATCGCTGTCATGCTGGTTGTCTGAAGGAAACACCTTACTGCTGTCACACTTCTGTACTGTCAGCAGTACGACCTCTCCTTCGGACCTTGGGTTTGTTGCTTTTAGTCTTACCGCTCTTCAACCGACCTGTCTGGCATGGTAGGACCTTGAGGAACGGTTGTTCCAGCCAGTATAGCTCGGTTGCTTCATCACGATAGGCAAGCCCGACCACCACTTCAAGGTAGCAACAAAGGTCTTGTTGTGTTAGTGAGGTATTGCAACTTGGACCGATGCATCTATGTGCCTGGTCCTACGTTGTAGCTGACTGAATATAGTTATAACCAGGCTAATACAAAACTGGGTGGTTCTATGTTGTTATTATATAACGATAATAAATATTTTAAAAAAATTATAGGAGATTATTCTATTATGTTTAGAGTACATTTGGGAATGTACATATAAATAATGATCAATACGACCCATAATTCAAAGGACGTAAATTTTCCTCAGAAATATACACCGTAGTATATTAAATCCATGGATTATTGTTCGGTTTCATGATAGTTCACACCACGGATTGGCATCAGATGGGAAGCTTATTGATGAAAAAATATAACTGATTAGTTTTCTTCATTGTCATTTGAAATCTATCGAATAGTGCAAACTATTGATTTTACATTTGAGCAAATCGAAGATATTCTCACAGCAATATGACTACATATATGTTTATTCACTTTATAGGAGTGTAATATTTCAAGTTTTATATGTTATTTATTCGGCGGTATCAAGAATAAATGGTCTCATCACTTAATTACGAATTCGGAAAATACTTTTAGAAGCTAGTTCATAACCGTCAACAATAGGACGAAACGGCCGTCCAGTGCTTCCAGGTTTCCCATGGTGGTCTAGCTTCAACAGGCTTATGATCTTAACCAATGGAATTACTATAATATCCGCGAAACCCAACTGATATTAAAACTTTATGTATTGAAGTTAATCGTAAGAAAGCGTTTAATTAAGAGATAATTTAAAACTATATTTAACCGAATAATCTCAACTATTTCTAATGTATAATATTACTGATACACTTGATGTTCAGAATATCACATGGTCATTATTAAACACCGTTCATTTTATCCAGGGTATATAATCACATAAATCCAAAAAGTACTATTTCAAAAATTAGGTGGTTAAAAAGGGCTAAAATTCCAAAGTTCATTGAGTGTCTTAACTTCATTACTTTTGTTTTGTTCATCTGGTATGGAGTGTTGCATATTGGAATGTAAGCTCCATTACAGATTTCATTTCATGCAGTAGAAGTTATCCACAACTTTTCTGTATGAACATAACAATGTAACGCAGACGATTTATCAGTTGAAGAAACGAACATAGTAAATGTTAGGGTTTGAAATGAAATCTCCATCGGAAACCACACTTCAATATGTAGTATGACGGGAATAAACATATAACTGGTCGAAAATACCCAGATACAATGGATTTATTGGACAATGAAGAAATTACGGATAAACCTAACCATCAAAGTACCAGTTATTGTAAATTGTTCCTGTTATTTTAAATAACACGTCTACTAATAAAATTTCGAAGCGTTAGATTCCATCCTCGTAAAAGCTGATATTATACTATCCTAAGAAGCTTAAAATAAGTGAAAAGCGACTATCCGAATACCATTAGTTTTTGAGTTAATTAACAAAATGAAATCACCTTGAAACCAAGTACCCATTAAAGTTTCTCGAGAATATTAAATAGCTTCAAAAACTTTTTAAACTTTCGTAAATTCTAGTGAATAATGTGAACAGAATACAGTGACAAAAGTGTACATCCAACTTTTAATAAAATAGAGTCATAGTATATCCAAAATTTGTTATTGTTAAAAAGGAAAAAAAACTAGGACCTATATTATCTGGGAAGAAGTTGGAAATATTTTATGTGAAATTGATTGAATGTGTTTATATTTTTGTTTAATTTTATAATCTATGAACATTAGATGAGAATTCAACAAATGAACTTCACAAACTTATTACTAAATAATGCGTGAAATCCATTGTGGTGTGTGCTACTGATGTCGACAGATATAGGTACTATGTATCATCAATTGAAAGTAAAATGCCTGGAGGCAGAAGGTCAAGGAGATCAAAGAAAAGAGAACGAGAACAAAGAATGGTTGGTGTAGAAATGAAAGAACATTGAAGTCTGAGACAATTGTTTGACAGTTTGTAAATGAAGTATTTACTGTATGATTCTCAGATTTCACTAAAATGTTCTGTAATTTTATACCCAAGTTTATTTGATTGTCCTCACTTGTGTTTTCGTTCACTACACTATGTTCACAACACGCTTACCTTGGAGCTACACTAGCACCTTGTCTATCCCAGATTAAAAACAAAGTTTCCCCTAAAGATGAATATATAGTTTAACTTGAACACTGACAAAAGTTTTTTTTGAAAATTTAAGTGTACTTTAAAAAAATTCCACAGTTTATACTTTTAAAATGATTACTGCATCTGACAGTATGGGTTTTAGCCCAATAGTAATTTATCTTAATAACCTAAGGTTATATTGATAGAGGGCATTTATAAGCCACTTATGCAACCTAGGATTTACTGAATATTATTAAGTAGCATTTATAGACATTAAGCAAATGCTCCTAAAATATGAATAGTACACTGAAAAGGTTTGGGTTAAAAACCATCACTTTTAAATGCTTAAGTAAGATACCGAAGAACATGCTTTTAGTGGACTCTAATTAAAGATTTTTTAGTCAAGCCTTAATTTCAGCGGTTGATGAGTGACCCACAAATCGATAAAGAGATTGTGTCACCTTATTGAAACATTAAGAAATGTAAGTAACCTCTTTAACGAACCAATTACTAAAGTGATCGGTAAATTTTCTAAACACCCTGACATTTTGAATAAACTGCTAGAAAACGGCGATGTGTGTAAAATCTAAATTAATATGAATTAACTTTGTAACATCGAGTCTGTACTCATCAAATCGCAATCAGAAATGATTTTTCAGTGATGATTAAAATGTAATGTTACTAATTAGATGTGGTATGTTAAAATTATAATGGTTTAGTAAAAGTTAAAATTATTTGTGGTTTTAAATTAAGGTCAATATATCGTGAATGAACTATTCATAAATATAATTTTTGCATGTTATTGAGTAGTGGGAACCACTTTGAGTGAATTAAATGAAAAAATATGAAATTCTAATTTGTTGATTAAAGCAATCGAATTTCACTCAATATCAATTACCTTCAAACAATATATATATGAACATGAGTTGGACACACAAATTATAATTTGGGTACTGTTATGACGTGAACATAAGTGTGTATTACTGAATGAAAGAGAAACCTTGAGGAACTTCTGTTGTCAGACATGTGTTTTAAATGCTGTAACCAAGCAGTTAATATGAAAATGTAACTTAAACTCTGTGGTACAGTACAAATCGATGTAGTTTGGTATATTTAGTGATATCATTCACTGAAATAGTATAATTTATTGAATAGGTTAACAAATACAATTCAATGCTCATAATCATGTGATGCTCAAATTTAAGTTTTTGATTCCAGTACTTCTTAGTCTCTGATTTCAGTGGTAAGAGAAATTGTTTAAATATCTTAAGTAGCTCAGCCTCCAGTCATCAACATTGTTACATCACTAAAAGGATGGGAAATGTTATTATTGTTAATTTGTATAGGTTGAAAATCAAAATGATCAAGAATTCATCTTTAAGAAACAAGTAATTTTTATTTATGAAATGAATAACAATTTGACATAAAACCGAATTATCATAATTGTTATACAGAAACATTATATTTACTCATTAGATTATTTCTATTCAAATCATTGGGAAAGAAAACAATTTTCGTTAATTCTGAGTTATAAATTTGAATCTGAAATGTTTCTTCTTTTTCAAAACAAATTTCGGAGAAAATGAAGGTTAGTTACAAAATGGCTAGTGAAATTCTCATGTGTATTCCATTAAAAAAAGTAGCGTTTTGTTCTGGTAAATGGTTTTCAGATCACACAGGTAATCGAAATGTTTAATTAGGTTACAAAGTCATTGAACTTTAATTCTAAGGATAATCATTTTACCAGAAACTGATAGAACAGTTTTACTTACCGATGTCCTTAAATTTTATGAATTCCATCATATAACATGTTATTCGATATCACCAAGTCTTCAGTAAATACGATATTGGATAAAAATTCTACTTTTATCAGCACACTATGAAGTGCGAATGATATCAGACTTTTCTAATTACTTTATTATCCTCATGTTAGCGATTTTTACTTAAATTAAACGAGAATCTATATTCATTTTTGTTAAAATATCAATGAACGTGTGATTCTTTTTAACATATTCGGAACATTTTAGTAGTACAAAATAGAACAAACATTTACTGTATCATATAAAAACTCAAATGATTAAATTATCAGTTAAACGTAAATGGAATTTCGTAGATAGACTGAATTACAATTTCTGTATAATTTTACCTTGAAAATTTTCATTCTAGTATGTTTTTATATCTAGGTAAACACTTCAAAACTTACGACACGTCAACTTTGTTATTTGACTAGTACATAATTTAACTTGCATTTACATACAATTTGAAATGTAACGAAAATATGTGATGAACTCCTATAATTACTATTATTATTATTTCGGGTACTTGGTGATTGAGCACTTGGAAACTAAGTAAACTAATAAGTGATCACGTAATAAATTTTGTAATAGATGTATATTTATGTAATGCACCAACGACCGAACGTCTCACAAAACTAAAGAGTAAAGATATCACAGATATTCAGTGTTTGAGAACGCTTTTGTACGTCACAATTTTATAATCGAAGGGTAACGGTCCAGTCAAATCAAAGTCAAGAATGAATGAGTACGAAGATATATTTGGAAAGTTGTCGATATGTTGAGAAGTGTTTGATCTAAGCTGGCCATATTGTTATGAGAAATATCTAGCAAGTTCATGAAGAATGCTCCTTTAGTGATAACTACGATTAGTCAAACTTTTTATTGTACTCATTCATTCCTGACTTCTGATTTTACTGGACCCAACTGCGTCATATGGCAAGCCCTCACCTAGAATCCTCAAGACCAAAGAAGAAGAGGAAGACCAAAGAACATATTACTCCGAGTAATAGATACATATATGAGAACAATGAAAAACAGTTGGATAGAACTAGAAAGGAAGGCCCAGTACAGAACGGGTCGGAGAATGCTGGTCGGTGGCCTATTCTCCTCTGGAGTAACAAGCGTAAGTAAGTAAGAAGATGAGTTCATCAATGATACTGTAACCATTGCCCAACACACGATAGTGTGTTTTAGAATGTAAAATGTCCTAGGCTGATTTTTCCGCTGCACTACTAATCACTTTCCTATATATCGAAATCCATTTACGTGTTTCCATAAGTAATCCATGTCATGTTGTGTCAAGCTGGCTGAATAAACTACCACAGTAGATCTTGTAAAATTATTAACAATTTGATGCTGCTCGTGAACTAGCATGCACTATTCAACTTATATTTATCTAAGAGTAAATTATTACTCGGAAATAATTTGAGAGTTATTGTTTACTTAGGAGGAAGACAAATTTCACTAATTGTGATAATTATACTCATACATCATGGCACTGATACGATCTAATTTGTCAATATTTTGTCGTTCGTTTCTATTTCCAAAAGTGTTTGAGAACCCACATGGGCCTCAGTAGTCTGTAACGGTACGTAATTTCTCAAAATATAAAGATTGGTTGATGCAGTATCTTGCCTTTGTAGTTCAGTACGAGTATATCATGTTACGGTACTGGGAACAAAAACAACTAAGCAGCCCAAACACAATCGGTTCTCTCTCAAATAGGTTGTGGCCGCTTACATACAACACATCAAACCCTGATGGTTAATACAGGAAGAAGACGGACTGAAGGGGACTTGATATTCGGGGTAGAACAGGCAACACGGAAGTAAATGGTACAAATGTTGTTACTATAATAGCAAACTATGACCTCCGGGCTGACAGAAATTTCGTGAACTGGAAGCAAAGGCATTCAGATATGTATAGTGATGACAGATGGCCTATGTTATTCCTTCTCTAGTATCCTTCTGTAAGTGTCTATTCGTCTCTTAAATGAGTTGACTGAAGGTGCTGACACTACTGCATTGGGTAACAGGTTCCAAATATTGATGACTCAGTATGAAAACCTGTATGCCGAGGATATTTGTTCGTTCTTGGCCTTACTCCTCGCCCGTTATGTCCGAATCTAATGGGAAGAAAATAAGAGGATATATTGGGTCGAACGTCATTTTTTATTACTTTGTAAATTAAAATCAGAACATTTCTGAATCCAAGACAGGACAGAGTAAAGAGGTCAGTCTTTTCAAGCAGTACTTTTTATGGTAAATTCCAGGGTTCTGGAATTGCGAGGGCGGTTGTCCTTTGTACTTTGTCCAGGATATTTGAGTCACCTTTTAAACAGGAGCTTGCAGCCCGAACGCAGTTTTCAAGTTTGGACCTCACTAAGATTTTATATACTTTAATGAACATGGTAGTATCTAACTTGGTGAATGTTCGTCTTAAAGCCCATAGGGTTCTAATCCCCCTAGCATAAACTTCTCGGCAGTGTGCTGTGGTCTCGGAATCGTGACTCGCTGACACCCTAAGATACTTGTGAGATCGAACTGCCTCTATTGACTCTCCCATACACTGTACCTACTTGCCTTTGTATTTCCAAGGTGCATGTAGAGGCACTTGGCTGCGATGATATGCACCAACCATTTTTGGACTAGTTAATCAGCATATACAAGTCTGTTCGACGTGTGCATGCATCTGCTTTTATTATTTCTCGTCAGATTTTTACATCAGCATATAGTAGCCATGGGATTTCAACTATATTTAGAAGTTCATTTACAATCAGTACGAAAAATAAAGGACCTAGAACTGAAACTCTTGGTACTCCACTGAATACTGGTTTCCAGGACGAGCACTTGGAGTTTATTCTTGCTTTCCACGACCTACCGGGAAATGCTTAAGCCATTTCAGGGAAGATCAGGCAGTGCCATGATTTTCCAGCTTCAATAGAAGTATAATTTTCGGCACCGAATCAAATGCTTTGCCGAAGTCTACACCTAGAGCCGATATCCATTTCGCTCTTGTTATGAGGAGATTTGTTGCGTAAGATAACCCTTACTGAAACCATGTTGTTCTCTGTTTAACAGATTGTTGGTTTCTATTACGGTCTTTTTGATTATTCTT